GGCTATTTTGGATGACAAAAACGCAGGAATAATCCGAGCAGATGAGCGAAAGAAGCGAGTAAGAGAGCAATTGATTGACGGAATACCCTACAATTACACGAAGGTTCTGCTACAAGAAAACGAAAAAAATTACGGTCGACTACCTCTGCTCTATTATTCGCAGAAGAAATCAAATTGATATAATCGAAAATAACTAAGGATAAATTATGCAATCTCAGCTATACCAACAATTGTAACGAAGACAACGAATTTTGGCATATCTATGCGATTTCATCATATACGGGCTACGCAGAGAGCAGTGAAAATTTCGACCCAAACTTCAGCGACAGATAAAATCTCAATCCCGGAATCGCAGAAAAAGAAATGTATCACACTGGTGATGAAAACTAAAATGAAACATAGAATTTCGATGACCAGAGGGTTTCTTATGATATTGACTGCTATCAAGACAATCAGGAAGATATTTCTGGATTTGAAGACTAGCAGGCAAACCAAGTCTCTGATCTCTAGAATTACCTGAGACAGTCGTCGATAATCGGACAGGTTGGACTAAAACAAGTACGTTGTTTTGCAACTTGTGCAGCAGTCAAACTCGTCTCACAAGAGATTGTAAAAGATACCTCTGCTACGTCGACTGAGAATATAACGAAAGCCTGATTCCTCTTTTCTAATACTGCTAATTTTAATCCATTATATATTATAAATATTTTTGTTTATTGTTCATCTGACAAAGTGGCTACGCAAAAGTATGAAAATTTAGTTCTCTACTTCAAAAATTGCACTAGTCAATGAATTACCTCAACCATTTTCAGACAAAAACCCATCATGCACAATAAGAAATCGTTTCTAAAAAGCAAACTGAGGAGCGATTACTATCATTCCGATCCTACCAACGGCTTAGGATACTGGTTTAAATTCGGCAACTGTTATTTCAAACTTCATAAATCAATACCCTAGCTATCAAAGCAATTAAAGTTTTCTGACGATACCAAACATGATGGTAAACTGAAGCGGCACTCCACAATATTGATGCCTTATTGCCAGATTTACAGGACTAGCTCGTGCATGGCAATGCATCAGAAAAAAAGCTAATTGTGTGCTTGCGGTTTCGTTTGGTCGGAATTTATCCTTGAACAGAATGCTCACCACCTTAGCCTCTCTGATTATTTTAATTCAAAAATAAACCCTCACAAGAAACCCAAGATGCAAGTACCAAGCGTGCCCCCAATTCAATTTCTTTTAAGAACCGCGTGACAAGGATACGACTCGGTCAGTACAATGACCTCTTACCAACTCTAACTCCAAGAGAAGAAAAATTAACTAAGGATAGCCTGCGAAAAAATGAAAAATAGGTTTAAAACAAAATGTTGATGTAATTTTTCCTCCTTTATCTCCCATCTTTATTACAAAAAACAGAGCTTGCCTCACATATATTTCCAGCTTACATTTGACAAAAATGTTTCATTGTTTCCATCGTTTGCAGAATTTTCACGCCCTAAGCATGATAACCAATTATTAGTTATTACCCAAAAGCACATTTCCCTTTTCCCCGAATCTAAAAACTCTTGATAGCAAGTAGTTCTACACTTTTTATCCACAACGAAAACAATGTTAATCTCCTCTTCCGGCAAAAGACTGGTCTTAATCAGTCTCTTGAAATTTCCACCTCTTATCAAGACGCAGCCGAGCAAGCTTCTTCAACTAATAGCAAGCTTCAACTAATTTTGAGTATTTTTTAAACTAAATTGATACTTTTTTAATATAAACCAAAGTGAGCTATAGTAAAACGGAACTAGAGAAAGGAGAAACGCGAAACAAAATTTCAAAAAAAAATCTATGCAACATACTCTGCTCAAAAGATTGAGAAAAAATCCATCCAGCAGATATTTCACAGGAGATGGACACATTTACCGTACACAAATGAGGGACTTTTTTCCTTTTCAATTGAATCAGCTGGTTTTGCTCTCTTTTTACTGTCTCATCTAAAAACAATTTCTTTTGAAACTTTTTCACTCCCTTTTTTTCTCTTTTTAATTGCACTACTAAGATTCACTAATGCTGAAAACAGCAATGGAACAGGTTATGGATAATGCGAAAAGATGTACATTACAAGCAACAACCGTTGCCATTTCTTCGAAAAAAGACCGCAGTGTCAAGAACGACATGTTCCGTTTTGATATCCAGATAGAAGATCCAATTCTCTATCTGCAATTAGAACTCAGTATCTGAACTAGAACTTGATAGCTGTAACTAAAAATTTTTATAGGCCTGACTGATAAGAAATGCACTAACTATATACCATTTTTAGCTTTATGCACCAGTTTTATACTTTTGTATTTCCTTTTAGCTGTGAACACAATTCTCATTTCACTATCTAAGCACCAGTCAGTTTTGAAAATTAACTGAAAAAGATCGCCAGCAGAGAATTTCGGTTCATTTGATGACTTTAAAATGCATCAGCTGTGTTAACTTTCTACTAATCAAATGTCGAAGCACATATGACATTATACTGCTAACGCAGCCTATCGATTCAAAAGTATCACCAAAAGTAGCACTTTTTATTCGCGACTTGGGTTGGAAAAAAAGAAAGTTCGTACTAATACATATTGCCTCGCAAGTGTAAAAAAAAACATTTCTTTTTCCCAAATTGGTTTCGTTTTGTGCGTACAGTGATGAAAAGAAAAACGAAAACCTAAAATTTACGCAAATCAATCATAACCAACACAGTTGACTTCAGAAAACTCGACGAAACAATTTTCAAAAATTAAAAGCCAAAAGCAAAACCGTTTTTCTCAAAATTGAGAAAATTTGAAGGAGAAATTGGGTCAACGGACTCATAGCTTACTAAAGTTTAATATGACATGCTACTAGACCCATTATGATTAGTATTTATGGAAACTGATTTTGCGTGTAACAAATTTATAACACCCAAAGAATTGGAAAATTAGAAATAAGCCTCGAATAAGCAAAAATTCGGCTACCTATGAGATTCAAACCTGCGACCTAGAGATTAAGAGTATCATACACTGAGCAAGCCACGGAAGCTTATTAGGTACCACACACTAGCCATGAATAAAGCAGAGAACAGATGCTATGCAATTTCCATAGCTACCGTAGAATTTCCAAATGAGTAAAAACTTTTAAGGAGCACTTTTTTTTGCGAGTTAGGCTAGAAAAAAAAGCTCGTACTATTACGCTAGTGCAAAAATGCCGTTAAGACATATTAATCAACCGTTTAAAAACTGTAAAAGACTTTAATCAGACCAATCCTGCGTTACGTGTGTCCAGATTGGTCTCACGCCGCGAAAGATACATCCATAAGTAAAAAGCAAATAGTGCAAAATGCAACTGTGCAGATAGTCACAAGCAAACGAATGTAGGTGTACTAAGATGAGCCCAATTGACCATCTACATTCAGAGTGAACTATTTAACGTCAAAAATCACAAGCTCCTTGCCTCGCAATTCGTCCTCAGGACCTACTTGCCAACAAGCCCCCTCTATTTCTACCGAACCCACCTCAACCGCCCCGCCAGCAACGCGTGAACATCTTAAACTCTTATAAAAAACGAACTTGACAAATTTCACTCAAAGCAAACAAGTTTGACTCTTTTACTGATTTTAACCAGCTTGAAGTGTTCATAAACAGCAATTTTACACAGAGGCGAAGTTGCACTTCGCTTACACAAGCAAAACTTAAGCAATACGTAAGTGACGCACGCCAATTATGACGAATTAGCAGTACCAGTCAATTTAAAAAAAAAGAAATTTACCAACTAACACGCCGCAATTTAAAGAGCAGTCTATGGAGCAGTAATAACATGAAAAACTGAATGCTATGAAAATAAAATCGAATCTTTTTTGAGATTGCCCCCACACGCCATATTAAGTAGAAAATGATAAATTTCGCTTCTAGTAACAAATCAATTAGGGCAAATCAGCTTCCTTCAACCAATTTGGAAACATTTCAACGGCGGATTAAATATCCGCTCACGCCTTAATAGCGCGAAGTATATCGCGTTAATGGTCCCAAATTGGCCAAAATGGCAATTTTTAAACTCCCAAAACTTTACGACAAATGATCACAAGGAAATATCTTTCCAAATTTAAGCTCAGGACAACAATAATTTTTGAATGTATGAAAAAAATCCCGACAAAAATCACCCCGACCACAAATTTTCCGTAACTTTCGTTACGAAAGTCGGAACAATAATAGTCTGTGTTAAAACCCTTAGCATTGCCCGTACTTAATAGCTGGTTATTGAGCAAAATGAACACTTTCAAAAAGAACACTTGCGATTTAGGTTGGAAAGAAAAGATAGTCCATACTATAACACAAGCATTGCTTGTGTAAAAAAAACACTTGTTAAGAACATACACACAAAGCGATTGCAGAAAGCTATAGACGAAGCCCCCCCCCCGCCAAAAGTTCTCCCCTTAAGACCCTACAGAAGTTTCAAAAACTGAACAGACCCTCCCACGCTCGACTAGGCGCACCCTAGCCCAAATAAGATCAGGATAAAGTCCCTACTTAAATACTTATATGAATAGGAGAGACCCAAATGTCCCTACAAACTGTCCCTTCTGCCCTGCTCCCTACACGGCGCTACACTTATTTAACTGTCCTCCCAAAACAGAACAAATTTGACCCCAATAGACTTGTGGCTTCGGCAGACGGAGGTCGCAACGTTCCTCGAACTCGGCGAGAGCTTGCCCGACGCGCCCCAAACAACGGGCTAATAATAACAAAGGTTTTGAAGCGTAAAATCATCCATAGTTGAAATGATGAGTCAGAGTTTTCAGACATCGTACCTACATTTGAGCCTGAAAAACAAAACAAAAACAAACCACTTTTTCTCGACTCATGGCCTGAGAGTTTAAAAATCCACCCTATGCTATAGAACCGCACCAACCCTTCATTCTAAGCACCAATCGTAAAAGCAAGAAAATTTCAGGCCGCCTTTTCTCAAAACCTAAACATTTTTTCCATCATTCCACTCACCCGTATGTGTTCGTAGGTCTCCGTGATGATACCAATGAACAAAGAGAGAACACAGTAGATGAAGAGTCCTATGAACACATACAGCCATATTTGGTTGAACACATAAACCAGTGTGCTCACTTTCCTCATCTGCGCAAATGTCTCGAACATGTCGTCTCCGTTGATGAGGGAGTACATGGTCTCCATAGTGGTGACGAAAGTCCGGAACTTGTAATGGAAGGGACCGAATACAGCCCAGCCTGCCAGGGCGAATCCGAAATAGATAAAGAGACAACAGAACAGGAAGCGCAACACATTTGGCATCGAGTATTTCAGCGTTAGCAGAAGAGCCTGGAGTGTATGGAAAAAAATTAGCAATGATCTTTATGTTAGGTGATTTAGATCTTGTCAACCCCTCCCCCCTCTCTCTCTCCCCTCCTCCTCCTCCTCCTCCTCCTCTATTGCAAAATCTTTACAAGGCACAAAAATACATATACGTAACCGTTAAATTAGTTCTTTACAGGGGTGGCAGTTGTTTACTAGAGACCATACGAGGGGAAATACATAGCTTAAAAGTTTCCAAGATCATCCGATTTTGCTATTACTATAAAATTATAAGCGTAATCATCTGGCTAGTGACTAGTTTTACTTTAATTGCTTGCAATAAATCACAAGCTGGCATCGAGCTTAAAACAATTTCTAGAAAGTCGATTTCAAAGAAGGATTTTGTCGGTTTAGATTTATTGTAATAAATAATTGATCTGAGACAGTGATGTCCATTTAAAAAAAATGAATTTTAAATTAAAATTGTCTAAGAAAATTATAAAAATGTTGGCATCAATTATATTTTTCCGAAAATATTTAAATTTTTCGTAAGAAAATTAAATTTTTCTTCAGTCTGAATTTTAGCAGTTTTTCTGCCAATTTTGGAGACTTTTGGCGATTTTGTGAAACGAATTCCAAAGCAATATTTGGGCATATCTATTTGCTACAAAACGTCATAAAATTTTTACATCGTTGCAAAATCTTTACAAGGCACAAAAATACATATACGTAACCGTTAAATTAGTTCTTTACAGGGGTGGCAGTTGTTTACTAGAGACCATACGAGGGGAAATACATAGCTTAAAAGTTTCCAAGATCATCCGATTTTGCTATTACTATAAAATTATAAGCGTAATCATCTGGCTAGTGACTAGTTTTACTTTAATTGCTTGCAATAAATCACAAGCTGGCATCGAGCTTAAAACAATTTCTAGAAAGTAGATTTCAAAGAAGGATTTTGTCGGTTTAGATTTATTGTAATAAATAATTGATCTGAGACAGTGATGTCCATTTAAAAAAATGAATTTTAAATTAAAATTGTCTAAGAAAATTATAAAAATGTTGGCATCAATTATATTTTTCCGAAAATATTTAAATTTTTCGTAAGAAAATTAAATTTTTCTTCAGTCTGAATTTTAGCAGTTTTTCTGCCAATTTTGGAGACTTTTGTCGATTTTGTGAAACGAATTCCAAAGCAATATTTGGGCATATCTATTTGCTACAAAACGTCATAAAATTTTTGCATCTACTTAACTATCCCCCCCACCCACCCACCCCCCCCCACCCTATGGTACCTACTTAAGAATCTCCACCCCTATTAACAAATACAGTAAATGAAAATTCAAATTAATTTAAATTGTTTTTTTTTTAAATGGACATTACTGATCTGAGACCAACTCACATTGTAGGTGTGGAAATAGTTGAGGTACTTGAGCACTCCAATCCACACAATCATAGTTGCACAGCCGAGCAGCACTGCACATACGGTGTACATCTGTGTCACCTAAGCAAACATAATTCAAATATATGTTGATATCTAGTTTAAATGTGTGATAATTTCGGAAATAAAAGAAAGTTGGCTTACCCTGAACGTGACGAATATCTTGAGGAAGGACCCTGCAATGAGACACAGGTCGCCAAAGATGATAATGAAGTACCAGAACTGGACGAACTTGGCCTCGTCTCTCTTGCTCAGGGGCTTCTGGAACTTCTTCCACCAAATGGCCTTGCAGACGTTGCGTAGGTGCCAGTTACTCTGAATGGAGCGAACACAGAGCACGAGAGAAAACACGGCGAGGGAGATGATGAAGCAGTCCATGAATGTCACGCCGACCATGTACGCAGCACCGTCATCTAATAAAAAAATCCTTCCTCACGTCTGCAAAGCTAGTATTTCCTATACAAACTCTAAGGTTCAGTGAGAGGGCCAACTTTTAACAAATGCATACCCTTTATCGACGAGGAAAGGAGCAATGAAGATACAAATTTCTCCTTTCTGTTTTATACTAACAAGCTATAATATGTTTTGACAAAACAATACACACAAAATAATTGGTTAAAATTCACATCAAGTTCTTTTGACGTATGGGTGTTTCTTATGGGGACTCTTGTTGTATGGTGGGACTATCATATACTTTTTACAAACAGCGCTGGCTAAGTGTGGAGCGTACCTGATGATTCATAAGTGATGCTGACACAGTCGGTGGTGGAGTCCTGGTAGTGAGGGGTGATAGGTAGCTTCCCCGTGTGACGACTATTGTCATAATTAATCTACATATACAACGGAACTTGAGCTAATCAACTGCATGTTTCATTTTTCATCATCTAATTTCATGGCCCGCGTATAATTAACAGTTTTCCTACTTTTTGCTAGGAGAGACAAAGTAAGCAGCTCAGTATTCTAGTATGCCCAGCTGTAAATTTAATGCTTCTGGGGAGCAATAAATATATAAATCTTTAACGAACAGTTCGTAACTTGAAGTGTAACCTACAGATATGTTGAATAGGTAGCACACAGGTTTGAAGTAGGTCCTGCTGGATCCGATGTGTTGGTTGATCAGACCGAATTCCACTTGGAACGACAACAGACTAAACAGAACAAAATCAAACATCTTCTGCTATAATTAGTTTCAGCTATCGGTCTCGATTCATAACAAGTTAAACAGGCTGTGAAATCCATTTAAATAATGCCTAGAATAAATACTAAAACTTTAACATCATAAAATTTTTTACAATCAAATCGAATGCTTTAACTTTTTCAAAATGCAGAACTTCATTCGGATCAAAGTTCCAGAAAGTCAAGAAAAATTTGTTTTAATTTTCTAATTTTTCGAGTGTTATGCTAGCTTACCTGCTCCAATTGAGAGTGAAGTTATTATTCGTATTGTTTTCCCAAGACTGCAAGTCGAAATCTCCTTTATTGGTGTCTGAATACGTCACGTACCAACACTCTAAACATTCAGTCTCATAGTCACAACTTTACACTAACACGTGAATCTTCTAATGTCTGTAGTTTTGTCCCCTACTTTCAACTGGATCTCCGACTAGCTTCATATGAGATGAGTCGTTTCCATCTGGCACCACATCGTAGTAGCTCACCCGGAACTAAACCACACGATAACTGATTACGAAACGCAACATCACTCAGGCACTAGTTTACACGGTTGGTCCCTTTTGTTTATTGTTTGTTAAAATACGTAGAGCGTCAAACAACAGCCAAGGGGGTTTCAAATACTCAGCACTTTCTCTAAAGGAGATAAGTTGAACTAATCAATTATTTCAAACCTTTATTACCAAATCAACCATTTTGGGCCATTGAAAATACGCTCAATTTATTTTACATAAATAATGGCGGACACAAAATAAAAAATTTCCCCTCAATAATTTTAGGGGCTTCATCGCTAACTGGGTCTCTTCTCTTTCGGGAGAAGTTTTTCACATGGCCAAAAGAGTTATCGTTTAGCCTAATTGATTAACAGGCACATTTTGTCACTCGTCCATTTCAGGGATCTTGTTTGCACACACGAAAGGTCAAGACAAGATCAAACAAAATATGAGAGCTAAGAGTTATTCTCTTTGCTCGCTGCAGCATAAACCGATCCAAAACAAAACTGAATTCTGGTTTAAGATCTTGCGCTTGAAAACTATCGAACTTTTTTTGAAAAAATTTTCCGACTTGAGTTTACAGAAAAAAAGATGTTATTTATTGATTAAGGAATCATGCGAAGGACCTGGAGGAGCGCACGGATCAAAACGAGCAATACTCTTCAAATGAGTCAACAACAGACACCTATCTCATCAAGTACGCGATTTTGAAAATGTTTATCTTCAGTATGAAACCCAGATAAATAATTTTGAATTAGTACACTTGTTAGGTAAATGGTATATTTGAGAAAATCAGTCTTAAAAGGAAAAGTTACTGAAAAAAAAACGAACTTTTCCCGGTCGAAACAAAAAATCAATTTTTATGAAGGAACAACTCCCGGGTCGTTTCTAGTGAACCTGTCGCAAAACGGAGTCTTCGAGAAAACGCCTACAAAAAAGAGATGGCGGAGAAACAATTCAGCTCTTTCCTATAAAATGCTGCGAGCGTCTCCGATGAAAAAAAGTCGAAACGAGTGAAAGCGATTCAAACTTTGCTGATATTAACGAAGGAGAACACTGTAGAGCATGTACGATGAATGACAACTAAATCATAAGCGTTTGATGCTGCCAACTAGAAAACTCAGTTTTTTTATATGGGATAAGTTCATACATGTAAAAGACTATAGAAGAGAGCGAAGAGGGAACTCTTGAACATAGCCAACTGACAGTTAGAAAAAGTAATGAACACAAAGAAACAGAACAAAAAACTGACTTGTTTTTTGAAAAAGTTTGAAATTCACATAATTATCTCTGCCCTTAAAGCTCTTTGCAACTCACGAACAATTTATGTTAGACACTTTTTACACAAACTCGATAATTTGAGAAAACTGGATCAATAGGAAAATTTTTATTTCGCTGGTAATTTCAATAATTCAAATCCAGCTGGTAATTTCGATAATTCAAATCCACTTTCAAAACTAGAAGTCGATCACGTTTTTCGTGACCTTTACACTTTCGCTGTTCGATAGTGAAGTTTGCCTTCCTTTCAACAAAGGAAATGAGCTAAAACAAAACATCTGAATTAAGATGAAAACAAGACTGCTTGTATATCAGGGTAAAGCCCTGAAACTTCTGACTGCCCCTTAATCCACATCGAACAGATTTTGGGAAAAGAAAACATTGAAAAACTACGAAATTTGGACAATATCGAAGATCAAGTGTGGAAAATTCAAACGTACGCAATAAATACGACCGATTAGCTAGCCTCAAATCAATTTGGAACGATTTTGTTGCGGCATATTGCGCCACGCATAAATAATTCGCGTTACGCTTTCTGAATTATGGATAAAATCTTCAAAGTGCGCATAAACTAATCCAGAGCATGGACAAATTGGCAACTTTAAAACTCCGCACAAAATGATCGGAGTTCAATTATCTTTTCAAATTTGTTTTCAGGGAGTCGATATCTGCAATGGAGCATATTTATTTTTTGTTGAAAACTATTAACCGATCAGCAAAATTGACTGAATAAAAAACCCACACCGAGCATAAAAATTCTGAATTCTTCAGAAGTCGGAATAATAAAACCAAACTGAAATTTTCAAGAACCTTCAATAATCTGATTCTTATAGGGGAATTAGTGTGAACTACTCTAGTGGAAAAAAATAAACGCAAATTCAGATTTTTACTCTCTAAAATGCCTGTTTTCAACGTCCGTTTTCGACAACTTTTACTTCGATTCTCACCAAAATTTTTAATAGACCAAGATCATATGATTAGAGCTACCGTCTCTGAAACTATCATCAATTGGTTTCAATGACTTGTTAATGTAACCAGGTCTGAAAATGCCAAGTTTCCTCATCTGCACTAAGTTTTGCATTGTAGTGAACTCTTTTTTGAATACGCGTTTTGAGACCCAGCTTACATTGGTAAGTCATTGAAACCAAATAGTGATGGTTTCAAAGAGGGCAGCTCTGATCATATGCTCTTGGCGTAGAACATTTCAATGAAAACCGAACAAAACGTTGTCCGAAATGGACATTGAAAATAGGCATTTTAGAGGGTAAAATCTTGAATTTGCTCTCAATTTTGTCCACTAGTGTATTAGCTTCCATCAACTCATTTGATAACGATCATTTTGTTTTGAAATATATAGCAAGGGTTACTTATATATAACTTTTTACACTTCAGCTCAAGTCCTCAATTTCTTTAAAAGGAATTCAACATTGCATTCAAACGATAGGCACTAAAATTCGCTACTCCGGTCCGAAAAAATACACCAAAAGATGTATACACCACGCTCACAAGTTCGCTTGTGAAAAAAATTCTAATACTTGAAAAAAAATTAATTTCAACGAGGAGAGTCGGTTGCTGAAAAAGCATCACAACAACATAGCCAACAGATGGGTGCAAAAAAAGGTAAAAGAACGCATATAAAACAGAAAAAAAAGTTTTTATGAAAATGAAAAATTTTATAATAAAGTTTTTATGTAAGCTTACCAAATAGAAACACTAAGATCCATTAGATAATTTTTGTTTCCGCTGAAAATTCAGGAAATGAAAATCCAATTTTGAAACTGGAGTTCATTCACATTTTTCATGAAATTGACTATTTTCCTATTCGATAACGAAAAACTGAACTTAACTTTGAAGAACTAAAAAATCAAACGCACAAAATCAGATTGAGCCTGAACAAATTTTAAAAATTTTCGTGGAAAAAGAACACAAAATCATAACGACATAAATAAGTGAAAATGAATTCGATACTTTACATTTGAATAATTCTCCCACTACTATGAATTAAGTAAAAAATAGAGAAAATTTCATTGAGAAAATTGTTGATTTTTTTCTCGAAAATATTAAAATAAATTCGAAACAAGTATCAGGTATCTAAAGTTGTATAGATCAGTAACCCGAGTATTACTGCACAATTTAACAAAAATCAGGTGAGAAAATATTGAGTGGGCAGTGAGGAGTTGGACCGTTAATACCAATACTTGGCCAGCAGTAACGTCGCATTACCTTTTTGCAAAACGACGGACAGCTGCTGTAAAAAGTACGAGGCAGCTAGCCGCGGGTCACGGTTGGCGGAGCGGAAGACAGCCAAAAAGGTGACATAGCAGATACTCTTGGTGGCTAACGGAGATCAGCCACCAAGATCTTCAGCGGATAGAGGAATGAAATTGACACCTAACTCATTGCAGGGTGAGGCATGCTTGGCAATCTTTCGGTCGTCTTGGCTTGAAAAATCGAAGAAAAAAAAACGGTAGAAGTTGTTTATCGAGAAAAGCTGGTCTGAATATTATATTGGTGTTAAGATCAACTTGATGGCAACGAGAACTCGATGATACTGAATTTGAGCCCAAATAAGTTCTAATTACGTCGGGGAAAAACGCCTTCCGCCATAGTTCCTTCTACTTTCGGTCGAAATGGTCGAAACAAAAATTTTCTGTTCCGACCACCTAGTAGTCAAAAACTGGATATTCGATTGCATTTTTTTTATGATCAAAAACTTACAAAAATTGTCCAATTGAGGCAGAAAGAGATTACATAGGCACCCGTGCACGCGTATTCGAGAGGCAAAGAACGCTTTCTTCATTGTCAAAAAAAATTGATGGATCATTGGCTGCTGGCCAATATGCTATTTATAGGATAGTTTGACGTCTAATTTCATTTTGGGCAGCCAATGATTTCTAGTGAAATATTAGTCACAGGTTAGTATTTAGAGCTTAAAATAAGCGCAGCTCGAAAAAAAATCAAAAAAATTCCATAAGAGCAACCAGCAATTCTTGTTGTTTTAAGCTTTCTGCTGCTAAACCAGCGTATTAACAATAAGACTGTTTCTTAAAAAAACCGTGGCTTAAGAATACCAACAGTTTTTAAAAAAATCTTATCAATTACTGATTCTCCTTAAGCAAGGTAAAAACGAATTCATAAATTGATTTTAGCGGTATCAATTAGCTATTTCAAAGGCGTGGTGCATAAAAATTTTTTCTGCGCGAAAGATAAAAGCCGGTCCTTATCTTCTCGATAACAAATACATTTAAACATAATAAAGAGAAAATTGTAAAAAGTCAATGAGCTCGCGACCGAAAAAAAAAACTCGAAGAAAAAATATCACCTTGAAGTTTCTATGATTGGCAATTTTTACCGCGGGGAAATCTAAAAATTAAACTCAATTTTTGAAACTAAAAGTATCACATTGCTTTCCCGTATCATGTTGAAGTGTCACGAAAAATCAAAATTGAGCGGAAACAAATTTCAAGACATCTCTTGAAAAATACCACAAAAGAGTCTTCACTTCGTTGGCACTTAAAAAATTTTCAGGTGTCACTCACAATTTTGTATGTTTTCAATTTACAAAAACAATAATTTTCTGAGTCAGTACGAGAAATCAAGTAAACTTATTTAATTTGATTTCAACAAGGATTGAAAACTCGGTGTCATATAAACAGCAAAAAATCAGAATTTTCAATGAATCAATTTCAAAACTTTTAGCATGGCCAACAAAAAGTTACAGCCGAAACTGTTTGTGATTTCATGGAAACAGAAAGAAGACTAAAAAAAGAAATTTTCTCATTTTATGTTTTAAAGTGAGAAAATGGATGTGAAGAAAAATGTGAAGAAAAAGCACATCAACTTAAAGCTCTTTGAATTTCAAAATGATTCTTGATTGATGCTATTTGATTTGATTTGTTTTAGTTTTTTTTGCGACATTTACACTATTGTTAAAAGAGCGTAATTTATTAACCTCTGTGGCATGTCTAGTTTCTTTCCAAAAAAGTCCCATTTTGGATGCTAAAACTTGAGACAAGGAAAGATGCTTGTAAATACGAAAGAATTTTTGAAAATCTGGTCAAACCTTAAGTCATATGGCTGTAGTTGTCCTCAAAAAAATGCTATATTGACACATAATTTACTAAAGAATTTTTAAAACTTCTTGGTAGAATGTGTAGTTAAATCATGTTTGATTTTAAGCAATTACACTTTTCTAATGAAAACATACTCCATGACTTGAATTGAACAATTATATTATGATGACACTGAATGGAATTTTTTTTCCTGATAACCAATCAAAGTTTCGTGACAACCAATCAAACCGATGAAACAATTCTTAATAAGAAATAATGATCATCAGTTTTGGGTGACAACTGGATTGGATTTTGGTTTGATAATTGGGCGACAGTCTATTTTGTCCAGAGGCTGCCTCGCTTGCTGCCGTTTTTTCGGAGCAAGTATCCTGTGACGTATGACCTCTTGTGCTCTCTTCCCAGCAGATAGGCGGCCATAATGGCTCGTTTCATGGTCTCTTTCTTGTCTTCTTTTCTCTCCTGGTAAGGCGGCGGGGTACCAGTGTCGGGGATAAGGATTTCGCTGTAGTCATTGGATAATTGCCAGGGATAGAAAAAAGATCGGAATTTGTCATTATTACTCATTGTCTCACCATCCCATTCTTCACCACTTTTCGTCTTTAACGCAATCAATCAAGCACGAGATTAAAATTCATACATCCATTTACATTCTTTAGCTTGCCTTATTAGTTTTTGTTTTGAGCTCGAAGTCACCCATTTAAATACATTTATGGGCATAATTTTCATAGAACACAATTTTGTCATGCTAGACTTGCTTAAATTTAAGACAGCAAAGATCAATTCATGAACATCCGGATACAATAACTTCTTCGATTTAAAATAACTAGTCTTATACCTCAATTGTTTTTTATTTAAGTCGCCCTGTTATGTGTGACTTTTTCGATGTTTTTTTTTTACTTTCGGATACAGATTCTCGGGCTTGATCGATTGCATTTAGTGCATTAGGTGACTCACCGCGGGCCAAGAGTTGGAGTAGGAAAAAAAGAGCAGCAGCAAGGCAATTTGAGAAAATTTAGCCAAAGTGATAGCAGATGTGAAGACTGTAGATTTCATAGTGAAGTGATGTGGGGCGAAGGCGAAATGGATGTTGCGATGTAGAAGCCAAGTGGCGAAGAGAATATAATGACAATGAAAGAACGGTTCACAAAGTCAGTTTCTATGGACGATTTTGTTATCTATCTTCATAAAACTGACTGGCAAATCCGAAACTGATCAATTAGGAATGACACTTTCACATCAGACAGTAACGAAATTTAAGCTGCGAATCGGCAATGAGAATCGCAAGTAAGGAATGCTTTCTTAAAAATGGAAAGCTTTCAATCAGTTTTAATTTAGTACAGCCTAATTTACTCAACACACCTCACACCTGTTCTTTTGCAAAAAAAAAACAAACCTTACAGATAATATTCAAAGACGACGTGCATTTCACAGCAGATGAAAGGAATAAATGTTCCGAGTAATCTCGGGTGCTTCAAATTAAAGTATTAAGTGAAAATCCATTTTGCAATTTAAATTAGGCTGGCTCAAAGACTTACTAGATTAGAGCCGATAATGAGATACAAACCGTGCATAAGTTTTCAGTTAAAAAAATTGAAAAACTACAAAAAAAATTTGGCGATCAACATAAAATTACAAAAGGTTGAAAATGATGGCCAAACATCAAAATGTAAGCCTAAACTTTTCAATAATCCCAAGCTACCATTACAATAGCATCATATGATCAAGCACAACTTAGAAGGAAAGTCAAAACAAATATGCAAGCAATCTGCTTACAATTAGACTGTGCGAAAACTGAGAGATGAATACTTCACACCTTGGCTTTTTCTAAAAATGGCCTTTATTTGACCTTTTCTAAAAATGTAAACACCAATAATGAATACGAAAACTATCTATGCCGTCTGGCATGAGCTGAAGAAGTGGTATAAATTGGAAAATGATTTTTTAAAAGCGTTTAACAATCATTCTCTTTACCCTGCCCCTGAGATTTCTATTTTAATGGGTTTCAGGCGCAGTTTCAATAATGGATAATTGGAGGTTCATTCTTACGATAACTGGGGGAATTTGTTCATTAGGAAGGTTTGCGGACGGCCCCAGAGCACTGCCATGCTTCTTCCCTTCTTTTGAAGTATCTGCCACTACTGGGTAGCTGAAGTTGCCCAATGCTTTGTAAGTCAAAGTGAAATAGCTGAACAACAAAATAAAGCATGAACAACAAAATAGAGAAACTCATAGAATGTTTAACGGTAAACAGAAAGACAAACGGTCATTTTTATCTCCGCGTATTAAATTTTTTTAAACAAAACAATGAAACCGAAAACAAGTTAATTGAAAACTTTTTACTATCAAATTTCAAGTACTGCTAATGATTGGCTTTTTTCGCATAATTACCCCATTTAGAGAAAACGGGATTAATATATAACTTTTCATTCCGCAGGGAATATATAAATTTGAAGTCCATTTTTGACACTAGAAGTCATTTACGTTTTTCGTGACCTTTTCACTTTTGCTGTTCGATAGTGGAGTTTGCCTCATTTTCAATTAACAAAGGACTTGAAGTGAACTCTAAAATGAAGTGAACTCTAAAATAATTCAAACCGTGAAAAACCAAATTTGAGGGCGAACGAATTTTATGACAAATTCCTCAAAAAATCATCCTATATAAGATCTAAACACTTAATTATTATAACAGTTTTAACACATAAAACCTTCTTTCAATCTGGAAAGACGCTTGCAAAAACTTGTATTATATTGTCTTCGAGTAATGCACCCAAGTTGCCCTCCATACGCCAAAAATGCTTGTCATTAAATTCCACCGAGAACAAGGAAAGCCGGCTGCAATGCAAGTAGCACAGAAAGTTCTGACCACAAAAAATAACATATCTTTCCTTATGCAAATTTTTAAGTTTTTTTGTTCGTTCGGCTATGGTCGGATCTAATCAAAAGCCCAGAAATTAAATACATTCAATAGTACTCACAACGGCTCTTATCAAAAAATTAATCAGTAAACAAAAAAAACAAAAAAACTGACTAACAAAAAATTTCGTGAAACTGGGTAAAATTTGGTTGAACAAAACGATAAGTCCAGCAAATTTTTATTAACCCAATTTAAACACGGAGGCGAAGCGGAGCTTTGTACCACTTGCGATGCAACACAAACATATACAGAAATAAATCGAAAAAATATTGAAAAAATCGACAAGTTGAAAAAAAAACTAGATGAAACAAAACTTTCGTATTCCTTGATAAAAATAAACTAGGGGCCAGCTAAAGCTCGAGGTACGTGTTACGTGTTGGATATTGAATGAATTTGCTATACGGATGCGGCACAAAAAGGTGATTTCAAAAATTGGTTTCAAAACGAGATAAAATTTCTCTTACAAAAAACTAAGAAACCGGCAGGAACCATTATCGCAACCGGTTCTTTCAGTTAAACTTTTGATCTGCCATTTGATTATGAATATTTTTTAAAAATTCAAAGAACTTCTAAAATGAGAATTTTTAAATAGGCTTCGAATCACAACTGCAAGGGCTTTATTATGATATATCACTCGGCCTTTTCCGAAAATCATTTGTGGTACCTTATTTTGCGTGGAAAACAAAATTAGAAAAAAAAAAATAAAACAGCCGCATATAAACTTCCTCCTCACTTTCAGTGATCGGAACAATATTGCTTCTCTGTCAATTTCCACATATACGAACCAAAAGAAAAGCTACTTTTTACACTAAAAACAATTCTGAAATTTACACGAAATAAACACAACTAGCGTGTAACGCACCTCTGGTGCTTCGAATTTTTGACAACTCGTGAAAAACCGCATACATTGGAAACCACATCTGCAGGATTTTAGTGTACTCTGACAGCACCCAATTACATGGCTGGTAATTTGATATTTAACAAATTGTTTAATTCCTATTTTCCGTCATCTCGAAAAAGTCAAATCTCGAAAAGTACAAATATTTGAGTAGTCATATTTGAAGGCAAGATTTACAACTCCTGGGAATTTCCTGGCAGCACCCAATTACAGGGTTGAGATTTTAAATTTTGAGAATTTTTCTAAACATAAGTTAATTAAAAATTTTGGAAAAATCATAGAAAAAAGTCCTCATATCTCGAAAACTACAAGGATTTGAGCAGTCATGTTGCAGGCAAGATTCGCAATCCCTATGAGTACGCAGACAGCACCCAACTACAGGGTTAAGAACTTCGAAATTTGAAGAAAAAAATGTTGTTTGGGTTTTTTGAAAAATTTTTGAAAATCTTAAAAAACTTCATTTCTCAAAAACTACAAGAACTTGAGCAGGCATAATTGGAGGCAAGGTTCACAACCTTTTGAGAGTACTCTGATAGCCCCCAACTACAGGGTTGGGAATTTCAAACTTTGAAGAAAAAAAGTTCATTAAGTTTTCTGGAAATTTTTTGAAAAATCACAAAAAACGTCATATCTCGAAAGATACAAAGGTTTGAGTAGTTATTTTCGGAGGCAAGATTCGCAATTCCTGAGAGTACCATGACAACACCCAAGTACAGGGTAAGGAATTTCAAGTTTGAGGAAAAAAAATCGTTAAGTTCTCTGAAAGCGTTTTGAAAAATCACAAAAACGTCGTATCTCGAAAACTACAAGGATTTGAGCAGTCATATTTGGAGGCAAGATTCGCAACCCATGAGAGTATCCTGGCAGCACCCAAATACAGGGTAAGGAATTTCGAAATTTGAAAACATAAATTCAAGTTTTCTGAACATTTGTGAAAAAAATCACAAAAAACGTGATATCTCGAAAACTACAAGGATTTGAGTCGTTTCATTTGGAGGCAAGATTCGCAATCCTTGAGAGTATTAAGACAGCACCCAATTATAGAGTTGAGAATTTCAAATTTTGTAAATTTTTTTGTAATTTGAGTTTTCTGAAAAATTTGAGCATTCTTAATTTGAGGCCAAATTCGCAACCACTTTGTGAACCCTGACAGCATCCCACTAATAACCACTGAATTCAAACTGGGAAATCGAAAAAAAACTTTGCCATTGCAATATAGAAAAAGAAAGATAGAAAAAAATTAGAAAAAAAAATCGAAAAAAAGATGGAAAAAGAAAGATCTAAAATAAAGATTTAAAAAAGATCGAAAAAGAAGGATTGAAAAAGAAAGATAGAAAAAAAAGAATAAAAAAAGATAGAAAAAAGATGAAAAAAAAGATAGAAAAAAGAGATAAAAGAAAAAAAGATAGAAAAAAAAGATTAAAAAAAAGACGACGCGTAAAACAAAAAGATTGAAAAAAAAATAGAAAATCCAGATAAAGATAAAGAGAGATTGGAGACAACCATTTGACAGTAGTACTATTTTGAATTAAATCGTCGAAACCAAAGTCAAAGTAAAAAAATTAGGAGACAGGTAGACAGACACAATCAAATTAATTAAAAAAGCAGGTATTCAGGCAGACAGACAGACTTAATTTGGCCTCGAAAAAAATAACTGAAAAATTAATGACCTTGCTGAAAACTAAATGAAAAATTTTCGTTCGCATTGCAATATATGATATAGCTTAAACATGAAAAAGTTTTTTCGTTAATCATGCAAAATTATTCAGCTTAAACATGAGAGATAGCTGTCACTGGCATTTAAATATAGTATAGATATAGATAGATAGATATAGATTTTCAAAATTTGTTTTGTTTGCAGAATTCAATTTTTTGTTCTTATACGCTAAAATAAACGTGAAACTGACAAAAAAAAACAACAAACTCACATGAAACACTAAATTTTTCCAAGTTAAAGCGTAATTTTATGCAGAGGCGAAGTTGCACTTCGGGTACAAAAGCTTCTGGGAAAAACTGAAGAGTAAAACTTTCAGTCTACATAATTTCTTCAGTGACGCACGCCAATTATGAGTCTGCATAATTGCTAAGTGACGCAACCCAATTTTGACGCATTAGCAGTACAAGTTAATTAAAAAAAAAGTTACCAAAAAATTTACCAACTAATATGCTTCAAAATATAAAGCGGACACATTTCAACCAGTATATGAAAAAGTTCATTTAAAAAAAACATCAACCCTGCCCAGGTTCGAACCCTCTTATTTTGAGGCGGGTCTCCTTCCTTTCCTCTACGCTACAGATCCATGATACCTTGAAGGTAAAGTGCTATTTGAAATGTAATAGTCTGTGTTAGTATCCTTAGCATTGGCTGTAGGTAATAGCTGTTTATTGATCTTACGCACATACTGCAAGGAAAGAACACTTTTCAAAACACTAATATTTGCGACTCAGTTTTAAAAAAAGAGTTGATACTATCACACAAGCTTTGCTTGTGTTATTACAGTACTCCGAAATACGAAAGAAAACTAAATCTACTTCGCGAATCTTCGAATGTACTTTATCTGTGGGATTCATGCAACTTAACCTCGTTTGTGTATTCTTTGATGAGAAAAAACTTTGGTTGATGTAATTTCGGAAAAAACTTACAGCGAAAGTCGAAGTTTCTAGTACGAAAAAAAAATTGTCATACAAATTTTATTTAGACAAAACTACTTGCCATATTTTTTTCATATATGGAACAATGCTCAACATAGAGGTTTCATAAAAGTTTCGGAGGATGGAAATGTATGAAATTGTACGAAAAGCACTGTTCCATATAATAAAACTGTATGACGAGCATTTTTGGTCAGGCGCGGTCAAGGTGCCAGGAATTTTTCCCATCGACAATTTAGCTTATTCCAACTTATCCTACGCCGATTTGGCTTGCATCGCAACTTGCGGATGTTCAAACCGAGTACTTTCACAAACAGCAAGTAAAAATTGTAGGCGACATTTGGATTGAAATAAAAACTGACTAACAGAAGATTTCTTGAAACTGGGTAAATTTTATCCGTCAAAACGATAAGCCCAGCAAATTTTATTAAAGCAAAATAAACACAAAGGCGAAGCCGAGCTTCGCACCACTTGCGATACAATACAAACATATAAAAAGACATCAATCGAAAAAATATTTTTAAAACTGAAAAAAAACTAGATGAACCAAAACTTTCGCATGCTTCGATAAAAATACACTAGGGCCCAGCTAAAGCTGGAGGTACGTGTTGGATATTGAAAGAATTTGCTTTACTGATGCGTCACAAAAATGTGATTTCAAAAATTGGACTTCAAAAAGGAGATAAAATTTCTCTTACAAAAAAACTAAGAAACCGCCTCTTCC